ACAATATTTTAATAGGCAACATGCAACAGAGTAAATCAAATAAATAATTGTTTTATTTTATTGTATTTTATTAGACCACATGCATTAATTGTATAAATAAAATAAAGTATTTCATTTTTCTTATACATTTTGACAATTATATATATATATATATATATATATATATATCATAAATTCAGTTATTCATAGATTTAATGCCAGTTTCATGTTCATGTAATTTAAATGTTTGATTCCCAATTATTGAACACTTCTGTATTCAATAAATGATGCTTTTCAAATTACACCACCCAATAAAATTAATAATTATTAGTCAAATAATCTATAGACATCCTGGAGTAGTTTAACAAATCTATATCAATCAATTGAAAAATGTTGAAGTAAAATGAATAAATAAGTATAAATATGTATTTTTTTGTTGAATTTGATTGATCGGATGAAATATTTGAATATTTAATAAATTATAAATAGTAAATAAATATTTGATTATGCACTATTTCTATAACAAAAATGACAAAAAACTCAAACATTCACAAAATGTTCTGTTACTAATAAAACAATAGAAATGCAAAAATAAAATAAAAAATGTTGAGGTAACATATATATATAAATGGAATAAATAAGTATAAAAGTGTAATTTTTTGTTGAATTTAATTGATCTGATGAAATATTTGAATATTTTCATAAATAAATATTTGATTATGCACTATTTCTGACTGATCCATTTTTTTCTGCTGCTGTCATTAAAGCAAGAAAATGCAAAACAGAAGCATGACAATAAAATTAATAATTATTAGTCAAATAATCTATAGACATCCTGGAGTAGTTTAACAAATCTATATCAATCAATTGAAAAATGTTGAAGTAAAATGAATAAATAAGTATAAATATGTATTTTTTTGTTGAATTTGATTGATCGGATGAAATATTTGAATATTTAATAAATTATAAATAGTAAATAAATATTTGATTATGCACTATTTCTATAACAAAAATGACAAAAAACTCAAACATTCACAAAATGTTCTGTTACTAATAAAACAATAGAAATGCAAAAATGCAAAAATAAAATAAAAAATGTTGAGGTAACATATATATATGGAATAAATAAGTATAAAAGTGTAATTTTTTGTTGAATTTGATTGATCTTCATAAATAAATGTTTGATTATGCACTATTTCTGACTGATCCATTTTTTTCTGCTGCTGTCATTAAAGCAAGAAAATGCAAAACAGAAGCATGACAACCAATGATCTCACGACTTCTGAATGATGAAGGAAATAAAGTAAGTTTTCCAGTTAGAGTCTGCGGTTAAAGACAGTTCATGATTTTCCAGGTTTACTCCGGACTGTGTGAATGTCGCGTGCTCAGCTGAAGAATCATGAGTACCAACATCAACACCAGGTGATTGTGAACTGACAAGAATTTGGACAAGAGGTAAGTGCGAGTTTATAGCGTGCTATAGAGCGGAACTAAAGAGCGCGCGATGGTGTTTCTGAGGGGGACACATTGAGTGCAGCACCGGCCGAGTGTTTACATTTGAACTTCTGCAGGTAAATACTATGTTAAATACTCGAGTTAAAATTAATCGTAGCATAAAACTAAAATTCATATCCACGGTATTTGTACTTTCTGGGTGCATGTCCAAAATACGGCAGTACATGTGGGAAAAAAACATGGTAATACTATGGTATTTTTAGTGATGCAATGCATTTGTATTTGTATAGTACTCAAAGAAATGTATAAGAATACCATGGTACGTTTTAGTGATACCATGCATTTACAGAGTACTGGTAAATTTATAAGAATGTCATAAAAACATGGTATTACTGTAGTACATGTGAAAAACGTGGTAATACCATGGTACTTTTTAGTGATGCCTTGCATTTATGTAGTACTCAAAATCTATGAGAATACCATGGTATGTAACTAATACTATTAGTGATGTCATGCATGTTCATGAATGAATTAGAATACCATGGTATGTCATAAAAACATGGTAATACAATAGTACATGTGAAAAGCATGGTAATATCATGGTATTTTTAGTGATGCAATGCATTTTATAATACTCAATTAAATGTGTAATAAAATCATTGCATGTTGTAAAAATGTGGTATTGTGCATGTGAAAAAGCATGGTATTTTATTAGTGATGGCATGCATTTATGTATTACTCAAAGAAAGCGTGGTATTAGCGCAGTAGGGAATGTTTACTGTGTGTGCAGAGATGTCCACCCTGTTCCCGTCTCTGTTCCCGCGTGTGACCGAGTCTCTGTGGTTTAATCTGGACCGACCGTGTGTGGATGAAGCAGAGCTGCACCAGCAGGAGCAACAGCACCAGACCTGGGTCAGTCTGTGTGTGTGTGTGTGTGAGAATGTGATGGTCAGGTGTGTGAGTGTGTGTGAGAGAAAGAGTGTGATGGTCAGGTGTGTGTGTGTGTGTCAGAGTGTGATGGTCAGGTGTGTGTGTGTGTGAGTGTGTGTGAGAGAAAGAGACTGGTTTATATATCCTGGTGGGGACTTAAACCTGACTACACACAGACTC